CTATACCCAATAATTCATTTGTTTTGCCTTTTGGGTTATATTTGAACGTACTCAAAACTGAGAAAATATTGCAATTTTGGGACAGGGGAATTCTTTCTTCAGCGCAAGAGGTTAACAAGTCCACAGGTAGTGTGGAGGCAAGCTGACTGTGATGCAGGTCTCATGAAACCTAGGGAGTCGATGCGTGCATCGTCGCATGTTTCAACGTCTGTGGGGGCCTTAAAGGTAGTTTCCACACTGCGCGTTCACTGCGTGCGGTGTGAAAACATGAGGATCGCTATCGAGAGCTTTTATTAATTACGTTCCCAACGTCGGGGTGAATCGCGGTCTCGGCTTGCAACTCGTATCGTGTGTCGCGGTACGTACGACGGAAGACGATGGGGGTCGCGAGAGCAAGACGAGGGAAAACGTACGTCAGAGAATGGCAGGATAACGCGCGCGGTTTCCCGAATTGGACGGGAGATTGTCAGCGCCTGCGTAACGTGGAGCACGCGTACGAAGTATATAGGAGAGCGATTGCCGCTCGAGGCGTCACATTGCGTCCTCGAGCACGTCCTTCGTCTTTCCACGTACAGGACATCCATCGTCCGAGCAGCAATCCTTAGCTCGATCGTCGTCGTCGTTGTCGTCGTCGCGTAGCGATTCGCGATTCTGCGGTGTCGCGCGCTGTCTTTCAACTTTCCCCGCCGCGCTACTTCCTTCGAAGACAACAGGCTCGAAGAACTGAACAAACAGATCCAGAGAGACTCGTCGAGATTGTACCTCGCGGCAGACGGTTCCCTTCGATCCTCGAGGAGAGAGGAGAACGATCGATTCGCCAAAGCAGGTCCGCTCTGCGGATCACGAATGCTGTAACCGGGTCGCACCCACTTTCTTCTCTCACAAACCTTTGAACTTCGAGGCACAGATGGGCAACGGAGTGATCCCGTTGATGGTGGTGGCGATGGTGCCGATAATCGCCGGCACTATCGGGCAACGTACGCTCAGCAAGAGGAACGCGCCGACGAATCTCGACTATCCCGACTATTCGGCCAAGTACGACGAATATCCGGTGAGTAACTCGATATATATATATATATATGTGTGTGTGTGTGTCGATGTTCGTCCTTTGTTACACCGGCCGATTAGGTGACCAAGGTGGTCGAAATCAGTGTCGTGATACTTGAAGCTAGATCTCGATGGTTTCTCCATTCTACAGTCACTTTTGAGACGACTGGTCGGTCGTTTAGTTTTTCATACTCCTTTGATTCTGGATGTTCCGGTCAGACGGCTTGGAAATGGAATACGGGGATCAATCTCCCTTTCCTTTTAGAATTCATCCTCTTCATCTCTGTTTTATCTATCTCTGTCTTCCCATCCGTTCTTTGTGCCCGCGTCGACATAAATCGACGAACTCGTCTCGAGGCAAAGCGAAGCTACGAGTCGTTGGTTATTGAAAAAATATCCGTCTCCGTCGAGTGTTGTTTTATCGCGAGCCAAGCGGAAACCCTGGAAGAGAAGTCGAACAGTCAGCGGCGAAGATGAAAAACTCGTCGGTGTATCGTTCAATTTGTTTCGCCGCATTGTTTCAGGGAAATGAAATATCTTGGCAGAAAGATCCTCGTAATAGAAAAATACGAGGAAGGGGATGCATGGGTTCTAAACGTGGGGGCCCCCCGAGTCTTTGCTTTCGATTCCGAACGAACGAAACCGAGCTGGAAGGAAAATAATATCCAAGAAGTCGTCGTCGTTCTTGCAACAATCTGTTTTCATTCTTCCCTCCTGAAATTACATTCTTCTCGAATTTCTCTCGTTGCTACGCTCCACGATTCTTCTCTGCGTAGTTTCCTTGTTTTCTTTTTTTTTTTTCTTCTCCCCGCGATAAATGAGGCTTTCCACCCTGTATCGATTCATACGGAACACCTGAGAAAAAATTGTTTGTTTCCTGTGTGTACTTTAATCTGTAACAAAAAAAAAAAAAAAAATTCGAATTTATAATACCTAGAAATTTCAAGGAACCCCTACACGTCGAACGAACGTGCGCGCACCAACAGGTGGACGAAAGTGTTCGCACGCTCGACGAGAGAAAAATTACCGATGGTTCTGGTTACTTCGTGAAGCAAAATCGTACGAAGCACGGATCCATTTTAAAGCTGATTTTGA